TAGGTTTGCCCTCATTTCCCACTACATCTGCCCTATTCGAGATCTACCCGATTGTTGCAGCCGCCAGAGTATGGGGACACTTATGGCGGGGGAAAGCAGTAAAATGCTTTTCCGACAACAAACCAGCCTGTGACATAATCAACAAGGGTAGATCCTCCTCACTCACCATCATGAAATTGATCCGAAGGCTAACTTGGCTAGCGGCAACACTACAGTTTCACATCACATGCATCCACATTCCAGGAAACACCAACACAGCCGCTGATGCATTGTCTCGATTTAACTTACAGGTCTTCTTCAGGACACACCCCACAGCCAACTCCAGACCGGTCAGCACCCCTCCATTCCAAGACCTCATCCTGGACTAGATAGACTGCTATCTCACAGCAGATATCTAGCCGGAGCAGCCCTATCCACAAACACATCTCGTGCATACAATCGAGCTTTTACCATATACACCAAATTCACGACACAACATCAGATAACTGACACTCATTCTCTAGATTCCATTATTGCATTTATTTCTTTCTGACACCTTAACCTAAAATTATCATTGAACACCATTAAACTATATCTCTCGGGTATACAACATCATATCATCAGTGCCTACCCTAGTTCTAAACCCTTCATGTCTTCCTACCCCGTGAAAAACATATTAAAAGGCATACTGAGATTAGACTCACCCACTACCTCTGCCAGACTTCCCATAGACGGTCCCAAGTTTCGCGCACTCTCCAATATCTTGGACTCCAAACCTTTTGAAACCCATACCAACCTAGTGATTAAGACAGCGACTTACCTAGCTTTCTATGGGTTTTTACGACCAAACGAGTTCACCACCAATAGTGGTTCGTGTCAAAATCAACCCCTCAAAATTACAAATCTCCAGAAACACACAGATCACTACATACTCACCCTAGGTCACACTAAAACCAATCAAATAGGCCCACCTACCAAGATCTGCTACTATCCCACCGGCAATCAGTGGTGCCCCGTTGTAGTATTTGACACTTTCTTGGCTACTCTCACAGGTCTCAGTCAAAACGCCCCACTACTATCATTACAAGGTTTCCCCTTAACAACTGCCAAGTTCATTCAGTACGTCAGAACCTTGTTCATCCGACTCGGCCTCAACCCTACAGGGTTTTCTGGTCACTCGTTCAGAATTGGAGCTGCTTCAGCAGCCTCAAGTCACAATGTACCCTCTCACATAATTAAAAGATTAGGCCGATGGAAGTCGGCGGTCTACGCCACTTACATTCCACAACCAGAAATAGAACTAAGGTCTGCATTCAAAGGTCTTGCTATGTAATCATGTATAATAAAGTGAATTGTTTACTCCAACCTTTTTTGCCCTCTTTTATTACAGGCCTACCCCATACGTCGGTTTCGGCACACCACAACCGACTTCCATATTCTGGTATAATCATTACACTTCACGGCTTATGTCCCCGACTACAAATATATATATATATATATATATATATATATATATTATATATATATTACCATTAACAATATTGGATATACCTCTCAGTATTTATTAATTAGCAAAAATGATTAAGGGATGGTTTCATTACTGTATTTTTCCTGAAAGCATTGTGTGATGTGTTGTGAAGAAATATCCTGGACATATGTTTTTTATAAAAAGCTGCACGTTAAGTCTTTGCGTGGCATTGCTAGGAAATCTCCTCTATTATTACAGCTAAATAAACTAGTGACGTAGCTCATAGTTTAAAGCATGCCATCAAAAAAACAGAACATACTGAAAAGTAATGAAAACCAAAAGGTACCCTTCTGGTGTAAGACATTAAAAGTATTTTTCTTCTTAGTATTATTTTGAATGGTAATAGCCATAATTTTGTTTCTCAAATAGGGATGTGATAAAAGAGATAACAAGTGGAGCATTTTACTGTGAAAATGTATATTCATAAATTAGGGGGTATATGTTGGAAGGTTTATTAAAAACATTAGTTTAACCCTTTAATGTAAACATTGCCTTATCTACTAAACTAAAGGATTACTGCACATAGATCACCTCATTGAGATAGAGTGGTTTGGGTGCTTGTAGTGGTCCTTTATCTTTCAAATTCACTTTACATTTTTAACTAAAGTAAATAACCCTGATAGTTTATAGTGGTAGGTCACTCACATTTACTAGAGCAAATAGTAGCTAGTTCTAGGAGTCATTTCTTGAAATTAGACTAGGGGGACAAAGAGGACCAAATTATTGGGGGTCTCTAGTTTAGATAACATTCATGGGTTTTAGATAACAATTGCAGATTATTTACACTATATTTAGTTATCTTTCATATTTCTAAAATAAGTGAAAAGTCACTTGATTGTGTTTCTTTCCTTCTTTTTAACAAAATTTAAAGTGTTATGATGATGCCTAAAGAACTTTAACTTTAAAGCAATCCAGTTCTTCACAATGAAGAATTCCCTATGCCATGTTTACCTGTCTCTTCAACCTTTGTAGCTAGGTGAGTTTAAATATAACCTTGGAAGTCTTCCATTTGCATTTCATTAGGTATTTTCCTCATATGCATATTGCCACATCTATTACTATAAATAAGCATGCATCTTTTTAAACTTCTTGTTTAAAGTAGCTTCATGATCCATGAATACTCAAAAAATGTGGGGCAGGCTTTAACCCCTTAAGGACACATGATATGTGTGACATGTCATGATTCCCTTTTATTCCAGAAGTTTGGTCCTTAAGGGGTTAAGCATCCCTCATCATCTTTTTCCTATCAATCTATTTTAATTAAAAAAAAAAAAAATATCTAAAAAAAATTGGGGGGTGCAGAACGCCTTAATCCTGCAGCATTGAAATTAATGCCTTTCTATGAAAAGTATTGGAGAATAGCGATTGCTATGCATATACCCTATTACCTCAATTCTTTATGATACAGGTTGGTAAAAGAGAGACTGGTGGTTTGTGGGTTCATAGGAGGCATGGAAACACATTGGGTGCAAACTAGGGTATGGGATTTTGTGCATACAGTTAGGAAAGGACAGATTAGGAGTATAAAACAGAGATAGCATCGGTAACAGAGGAGTATGATAAAACTAGGAATTAAGGATTATGGTATTATGGAAAAGTTTGGGATTTGTGCAATATGATGGCAGAAGTGGCATTAAAACTGAAGTTTAGAATACTGGTAGAATCTAGAAGCCACATTTGCAATATGTATGCTTAGTGGATCATTTTCCATTCCTCCTATTTTGGCCTAAATTTTGTAAATGTAGTTTTTAGATGAACCTTTGCTCTTACTACTGGCATCTTGCTGGTACTGTTAGCAGAAAAGCCATACATGTTGTAGCTGTACTTTCCCCCTGTGATATATGATACCATGCTTTACATGGGAGTGAGACATGTGGTAAACATACACATAATATGGTCCTTTGTGAGGAATCCAGGGATGTGCACAGTGCAGATATAGGTCAGCATATTAAAAGGGCACATGATTTCATATCTAAAAAGTAAAAGAAAAATCAAAAAGAAAAAAAAAAAGCAAGAGAACAGAAAATGCTTTATGTTTTTATATTTGTGGATTCTGACTGTTCTAAGGGAAATGAGCAGACAGGCTAATCTGCAAAAGTTGAACTAGTTGCACCATTTATAATGATTTATATCATTTATAAGTCACACAGCGCTGAATACATCAACAATCAATCACACAGTGCTATATTCATCACTCGGCCAACACACAGAATTACTATGCCTAATAAAGTCTCCGAATTTCAAGATCATATTTAGTCACCGTTTAACACCTTACCCTCTCCTATTATTCCCTCAACTTATTATATTTTCCGCGATCAACAGGCAACACCTGGTTCTGGAACTGTTCTTATCTAGACTTTTATATTTTTGTTTTTATGTCCATTTTATTTATTTGTATCATTGCTTAGCAAATCATTCTATCTCACAGGATTGGAGGATTCTCTATTTGATTCACTTGATAATGGAGATAAACTTGCAGTTTCTTCTTATATGCAAGTGCAACCTTGAATTAAATTTGTTATATTTTTATACAATATCACACTATCTGCACTTTGTCCTTTGATGATCTGCTTTGCTTGGACGATTTCTACCATTTCCAGATACCCCTGAGGGGAGACAAGCGCATATCATTTAAACTCTTAAAGCTGGAGCTACTATATCACTCAAACGTATCTCACCTTATCGAGCTCTTTATTTTTAGATTCTACACTACTACCATATTATCCTGATTTTCAGGTTGTATCTTTCCTGTATTTCTTTGTAAATCACAACTCCCTATTTTATACTTCCCCTATTGGGGTGTATATCTGTTCTATTTTGGAGTGTTCGTGAGGTACACTTTTGTAGGGTGGTTGTATATTGTATACTTTCTTCATGTCATATAATATATATATATATATATATATTTTAACTATTTTGTTATTTACCATATTTCTCCTCTGACCTTTATTTGATGTAGACTTACTTATTAGATCAGAAAAAAAAAAAAATTTGAGGGTTAATTTAAATAAAATACTATCTTTAAACGCAAAGCCTATCTTCCCTTCCATACTGGCTACCCACACTCTGCAAGTAAGAAGTAACCCGTGAATAGCACTTACCTCTACATATCACTACAGTGATGTCTTTTATGGAGAAGAGAGATTGGCGCTAGCTGTCATGGTGTGCATACATGGACCCAGGGTCTTTGGTGAGGAGCAGTGCGCATGTCTGACTATAGCTTCTACATTATAATACTTCAGATAGTGGGCAAAACACTTGTGTGATTATTTTAATGTAACAGTAATTTCTAGGCGGCTCATGAAGGAATGTATGAGTATACAAAAGTTTCCCGTGTTGTATTCCCTTCACTTACCTTACCTTACATGCATGCGTTAGTACATCACACAAAAACGTGCATCACAAGTGTTAAATACAAATAAAAAAAATCTAGACTTAAAATGAGCATTTAATATTTTAGAAATTTCAGACATAAAAAAGTTCAAAGTGCATTATATGTATTCCAAAATGAGTGCATATTTATTAACTATTAAAACCCATAACAAAAACATTTCACAAGTATAAAAATAGAATACATTTATGGGAATAGTTATCTAGTGCTGTACATATATATATTTATTTTTTAAAGCATGTACAAATAAATTATAGCTTAATATTCTAAATATATAGCTGCATTACTAGGATGTTCTATCCTAAAGTCTCAGATCTTAGAGCCAATCAAAGGTTTGTCCAACCAGTTCAAAGAATTTCTTATTTGGTTCGTGGAAATAGTCGCGTAATTTCCCCAACAAGAACGGTTTGATTTGGGGATGAGCTCTGCCTTTGGACTCATGTAAACATCGATCCCTCCCACTGTCCCTTAAACAATAAAAACCTTTCGTTTTATTGAAATAAAAATTGGACACGTTAATCTGAGGAGAAAGATTTAAGAACCGTTCTACTTTCTGCATTTCGGGAAAGGGGTCCTTGATCAAGCGATCTCCGTCAACTATGTAGATGTTTTTAAGAGGGAAATATTTTAGCCAGTTTTCCATGAATATGTGATATAAACTTCTGTTTATTGCTTTGTAGTCTGTATTTAGTTCATCATTTTTCAGAAGCAGGTCCTCCACTGCTGGATAAGATTTATTTTTTTGCTTGTGATTATAAAAAACTTGGGTGTAATCAGACAAAACTCTTTCGATGGGATCTCTTAAAATGAGCAAGAGTCTTATTGTACTGTTCATGTTATAAACTCGCTCAGGTACTACATCAGACGTGAAATATGCTGGTGTTTTCTCCACGGTGAGCTGGTGGGGATAGGAGAAAGGCATTTGATCAAGATACCATTCTAGACCTCTCTTGTATTGATCCTCCAAGTCGAAGAAATGAATTTCACTTTCAGCAGCAGAAATGTGAGAATGAAGGCTAAGCATTTCCAGCAAAGCTCTAGTTCCACCTTTGCGTACTCCGATAATTAAAATATGCGGCAAATACTGACTGGTACCATTTGGATGAGATACATTCTTAAAGGAAGTCTTTCTAATTTCTTCATCATTCACAAAAGGGAATGTGGACATGTAGTTTTTTTCACTTAAAGCTGGTCTGCAGATGATCATATGCAATTGCATACAAAGTAGGCAAACTCCTACAAGTAAAGCAGCCATAATGAATATACAAATTTTGCCATCAAACAGGATAGTGCTCCTTTGGCGAGTTTTGTCCAAAGAGATGTCTCGGTTTGTCAGATATGCTTGCAGAGATTTGTCTGAAATAAAAAATAAATAAGTGAATAAAATCGTATTGCGTAAAAAAATCTAAACATTGTAGTAAATAAATAAATAAATAGAATATTTTTTTTCAAATGCAGAATTAAAATAAGATGTGACTACAGCATGTTTTGAGAATCTTTCAAAGCAAATGCTATTACCTAAATAATTTTTCCAATTTGCTAGTTTTGTGTTTAAAGTGAGCTTTATGCTAGATAGTAAAGTTAACATAGTAAATGCTTATCCAGTCATTACACAAAAACAGCATAACAGACAATACATTTGCTGAGTAATGTCAGAATTTGCACTTACAGAAGTCAGTCACTCAACCAAACACAATCAACACTGACACATGCTAGACATGAGAGAGTGAAAGGCTTTAAAATGCCACATGTAAGTAAATGGATAATTACAATCTAAAAGAAAGAAACTCAGAATATAATGAATAAAAGGTTAATGCTAAGCCTAAGTATTACAATTTATTTAGACAAAATGAACACAGACAATTTCTTCAAAAGGTTGTCACGGTATGATTGCCTATAAAATCTGTAAGAGTTTAGACTAAGATTTTAAGTTCTCCAAGGGGTAGATTGCAAGAAATCAACATTGCTCTAATGTAAATTATATCTATGTATTTGTTTGCAAATAAATGTCAATTCAGAACAATGTTATAATTTTAAGTTTTCAATTATTCAGATTAAAAATGCATCTTTTAGAATAAAGCAAAAACGTAATTTAACAGTTACACATTTGTGACAATTAAACATTGTTACCCTCTTCCATTTGGGTACTGGAGGGGGCACTTAGAACAGAATATAGGGTTTAAGAGTCAAGTTAGAACCTTTATATATTTATGCTGGATGAAATATGAGATGGATGATAGAACCCTGTGAGGTCCTCAGAGTCACGAAACACTGATTCAGCACACTATTTAGATTTGTATTATTTTTTTTTTAAATATATACACACACACACACACACACACACACACGTTCAATGCTTTTGCTAAAAGTTCTTCTGAGTGCCCCCAGTTTATTTTACTTTGGCTTGGTTCCTGCTGAGTAACCAGGCAGAGAAACTTTTTAAAAATGTTTTGCAGAAAAAGTGTCCATCACATTTAGACACACACAGAGATTATGAATACACACACACACACACACACACACACACGTTTGGAAGTTTGAAGACACCCTGTGCAGTAAGAGTTGGTTAAAATGGTAAGATCAATATAGTCTACTACAATCCTTTACTACCACTTCAGAATGGATTAGATGGAAGCTATTAATAGAAGCAAAGTAAGAGAGCCTAGTCTAGATTGTTCCCTTGGGTTCCATAATTAACTTGCCACTTGAAGGAACAGCATTTAGAAAGTAGATTGGGGAAGAATATTCCTCACTTCTGCTTCAAATCATATCGTCTAAAGTTGACACAAATGGAAAGGAAAGTCACTTCGAAAAATATTGGCTTTCTTAAAGTATTCTATGAATTTATTTATGGTATATTACTATAGCATATAACATTATGACTCTTACAAAAACTGTCCAAAGAGGTATTAAGAGTACATATTGCAAATATGGTTGAAGAAAATGGTTCATTTAACTAATATTTCAACAGAGTTAATAAAAATAAAAAATAAAAATCTCTTTAATTATTAGATTCTCATTCTGTCATAAATAATTACATTAATGTTGGGAACTACTGAATATAATCAGTGAATCTCACAACTTAAAGGAACTCTATAGTGTTAGGAATACAAACATGTTGGACTAAATATTTAGGTCCCTGCCCCCCCTCAGATTGGAGATAAAAGGTAGCTTTACTCACCTTGTCTCCATCGCCATACTGGTCTCGACATGACTGGCCCCACCTCCACGGCTGAGATAATCAATCTTGGTGATCTCAGCCAATCAAATGCAAGCATTGGGAGCCTATTGTGCATGTGCTGCAAGTGCCGCACTACTCCAATCGGCATTTCCTCATAGAGATGCACTGAATCAATGCATCTCCAAGGGGATCATTCATCGTCTCCATGTGGAGTGTGGTGATGCTGAATGTAGGTTCTGCACACAGTGCAGCATTGAAATAGGAAATACCTCTAGAGGCTGTGTCTACATTGCTGAGCCTGCAGGGTTATGCTATACACACTAGAACCACTACATAAAGCGGTTGTTTTTGTGCTGACTATAGTCTCCCTTTAATTATTAATGGTTTATCATACTTCCCAAAAGAAATAAAAATCTGGTATATGTAACACCACATCATTGTTAATTATAATTCCTATGATGCTTTGCCCTTCTACAAATACAGACATACCTACCTGCTTTGTTTTGATGAGAAAAAGCAAAACAAAACAAAAATAAGGTGTCCTGGAATGGTTTATATACGCTGATATTTTGATCCCACTACTGAAGGTTGCCTGTTTTGTTTTTTTCCACCAAATTGTAATATTGCTTTGACTAAACCAGGTTCAAGACACATATTACAATACTGTGCAAATGTTAGCACTAAAAAGGATTAGAAGTCTTAAATGACATGTTAGCCTTGACAGAGCACTTTGTGGCCATCAATCAACACATTTATAATGAGGTAAAAAACACTAAACAAATGACAATTTAACTGGGTACATACGCTGCCTGTTGACTTTTTCCTAAAGTAACCAATTCCATGAGCTTCACGCAATGTAATTGCAATGTATGTACACGGTATTTGCTGACACCATGCTAAAGCAAAAGGCAGAGCTTCAATTAGCTTTAACCTTCCATGTCTGCCTACTCCTCATCAGCTGCCACTCACAAAGGCTGATGAGAACAGGCATCTTCTCGTGCTATGTTCAATAGATGCTTCCAAGTCCGTGAAGTGTTTTATAGAAGCAGTGTTACTTTTAGGGCATTAGATATGAAAGATATAATCACATTTGGTATCAAATTAATTGTCTAGATTAACTAGAGATGATAAAACCTGGTTACAGAGATTAGAAATACCCGCACAACATTATCGTTGTTGTATAACTTCAGTTTGGTTTGGAATGCATTGATTTCTCCTTCTAAGACTGGAGGGCATGTCTAAAACCTGAACCAAATATGTACAATATCTAATGATACCTAGGAACTTTGCAATTCAATTCAAATTCGTATTGAATTGTATTATTGTGAAAGAAAATACACTACTTCCCTATAACAGTAAGTATTAGAGCTCACTGTTAAATTCTCCGATTTTATTTCACTTAAATTATTTGCATGGTGCAGTGTTTTTTTAATTTATGCACTGTGGTAATTTTTCTTTATAATAAAAAGTCCGTTATTAAGTTCTGCCTTTTGTCTTTCTTAAAGGACCACTATAGTGCCAGGAAAACATACTCGTTTTCCTGGCACTATAGTGCCCTGAGGGTGCCCACACCCTCAGGGTCCCCCTCCCGCCTGGCTCTGGAAAGGGGAAAGGGGTTAAAACTTACCTTTTTCCAGCACTGGGCGGGGAGCTCTCCTCCTCCGATCCTCCTCTTCTCCTCCCCATAGGCTGAATGCGCACGCGCGGCAAGAGCTGCGCGCGCATTCAGCCGGTCACATAGGAAAGAATTCATAATGAAAATCACAGTGAGAAGCACGCAAGCGCCTCTAGCGGCTGTCAAGGAGACAGCCACTAGAGGAAATAGGGGAAGGCTTAACCCATTCATAAACATAGCAGTTTCTCTCAAACTGCTATGTTTTTAGAAAGAAATGGGTTAACCCTAGCTGGACCAGGCACCCAGACCACTTCATTAAGCTGAAGTGGTCTGGGTGCCTAGAGTGGTCCTTTAAGTTGTGACTTGTATAAATACATAATATAAATTACTAAAGGGACCTATACAATAGTATAGTGTTTTTAATTTTATTATTTTATTTTTAATATATATATTAACAGCTTTTTTTTTTCAATACTACAACAATGAAAGATAAATGATTAACTTCATATTAAAGGATTTGGTATATGCAGAGCTACTTAAAAAATTAGTGTGTTGGCTAGAAGGAATGTCAAACCCCTTATGATGACAACTCCCTTGGCTTGGTCTCTGATCCCAAATAAAAAGAAAACCAGAATTGGCTGAGAAGGCCATCAAATCGTTAAAATTAGAGGCAAGAATGTGATATATTTTTTATTTATATTTACCTTTGTAATGCTATAAACATTCCAACCCAGAATATGTCCCTTAACGTGTAGGTTTATGTGTGTTTCATTACTTCACCTATCCAATAAAAATTAAATTCTAATTGCATGTGAGGTTTGCCATCACCTAGTAAGTAACATTTTATGAATGATGAATGGGCAGGCTCTATTTTTTCTTAGATTTAGTGGAATAAAGATGCACATTTGTTTTCCTATTACACAAAATTTTCTCTCTATTTGCTCACAAATCTTGTCAGTTCCAAAGGAAATCAACAAATTCCTCCAAAAACATTAATTCTGGAAACTGAAAGGGGCTCTATGTACAGACTGTTCAATGGGATCCTATGTTTGTTATTTTTATACAGTGTACTTTCCATAACATTTGCAAACATTGAGCCGCCACAGTTTTGGCTGTCATTTTGATGCACTACAACATTTCCAAACTCTGCTCTAAGCAAGCGTTGTTGAAACGATCACAATTATTACTTTGTTAGCGGCAGCTCAAATGAAATGTAAAGAAGTGTTCAATGTGCTGTGTCCTTCTTACCAAAAAAAATAAATAATGTTTTTAAAAAATAAAGAATTTAAAAACTGGTATAAATGTAACTGCCTACAAGTATTGAATATATACTACTTAAAATTAATAAATAAACAAAAACGAACATCTATGAAAGAAGTGGAGGGAATTCACTCCAATTCTAACTTTCATAAAAGAAAGCAATCCAAAATTATAGAAAAGTAAATCAGAAAAAAAATAAATAAAAATTGTATACACACACAAATGAGGGTGGCTTGGATCTGGGGACAATGCTGCAGCTTTTATATTGATACTTTTGATTGCCACCTCATATTTTAAATATATTTAATACTTTTCTTTTTTTCTATTCACTTTCATCATTTTTCTTTTTCCCATTGTTTTACTATTTAGTTATCTAGTTTCAGACAGAGTAACTTACGGGGGGGAGGATGGGGTTGTTTTTTTAAGGGGTGCCCTCGAATGCACAATAGCTGTTATTTCAGTATCTGCAGGGGTGCCCATGAAGGCACTATAGGGATTTTTCCATTTGATGTATTTACTGCAGCTATTCCGTCATTGTATCCAGACCTTCGATACAAGAGAGTATTACCTTTTTCTCCCCTGGTCTTTTCTGTCTGTACTCGATATTAGCTGGGTAGTTACATTGCATCTGTACTAGCTACATGACTCACAGCAGTTACTCTATATGTAAATAGCCATGATATTTACTACATACGTCTGGTAGATTTTTGTGTTATTTATTTTTCACTTGTTTTTGGTGCAACTAAATATTTGCCCTTTCTATGGATCATTTTAGCTATACTAATAAATGCTAAGTTTTCATATATATATATATATATATATGTATTAAGGCAGTTTTGCCTGTATTTGTGGGAGGGGCTTAAATTAATTCACTCCCCTATATAAGGGACACCCCTTACCTGACTCATATCGCTTGAGGTCAGCATCAGAATGACCCTCCCACCCACTCCTCATTTCAACACTTTCTCTTTTCTTTCCATTTACTTTACTTTCTTACTCCTTGGTGGGCCCTCTTTATTTACAGGCCTACCGTATCGTCGGTATCGGCACACCACAACCGACTTGCTCCCTTTACACTATCCTAAGCTTATGCTGGATCCTTACTCCATATACGGCTATTTTGCCCCTTACACAAATATATATATATATATATATATATATTTTTTTTTTTTTTATTCCTTTTCTATATTTGTGGGTTGCTTTCTATAATGAAAGTTAGAGTTGGAGTGAATTCCCTCCACTTCTCCTTTTTATAGATGTTTGTTTTCATTATCTATAGAGGTTACCCCCCACTAGTGTTAACAGTAACCTGACACTCTCTCTATAATATACTCTAACATAGCTACTTAAAGAAAATAAGATGGTAAAATACTGACACAAGACACAAGATTACTTAAATGGCAGATACCCACCCTTTAAAATAAGCCTGGTAGATACTCCAATGGCCTGTAAACAGCTTAAAGTGACAGAAAAGGTGAAAAAAAAAATGTATATTAAAAAAAAAAAAATGAAACAAAATTAACTTCAAAGTGGCACTGTCACTTATGGGATTTCTTTTGTAGTGATAAAATCTAAGGAGTAAATAAAACGTCAATGATATTCCAACACAATAAAAAAAATAAAAAAATAAAAAAAAAATAAAAGGTATATAGGACAATGCAGTGACTACTTTGTCTTCCGGAAATCATCTGTTGCATGCCACATCCAGACATTATCTGTAACCTATCACTTGCTAAGGCTAATGGGTACAGGAATCTTCTTAAACTACATGCAACAGATATCTGAGGACATCTGTGCAGGACCTTCCACAGACCTTTATTGTGTGCTTTTGCATATGCATGAGAATAAAGAAGTGATGCAGCTTCCTCTGCCAAGGGCTGAATGAGTTATAGAGAAGGGTGAAGTTCAAGTACAGACATCTCCTTTCTTACTGGTTGTGGGGTCACATCCAGGCCACTAGCCATGCAGGCAAAGACCTTTCACTGAGATACCAAACAGGAGTGTAAACAACTATATGACAATGTGCAATAAGTATTTGTACCAGTCAAAAAAGGGAATATAGATTCCTCTTTTGACATCAGAGGGAAAGGGGGCAAATTAGAGCTATAGTAATATTAGAAAATTGCTGCCATTAGAAGAAACGAGGCGATACGGACACGAGGACCTAAGTCAACACACCCTATGCAATAAGTATGGATTATGGTGCTTGAAGTGTTCCTTTAAATATAAAAGGAGGTAATCACCCCCAAGTCCCTCTATATAATATGGTTTACAGCTTTGTATGAAATACAAAGAATAATGTGACAGTAACAAGGTATGTAGGTAGAAGGGCTTATAGCAGACAGTGTGATTTATCCAAAACTAAACAGTAATTTGGTGCTAAGTACTAAGGCTTTGATTTAATGTGTTTCTAAAAGCTTTTTGAAGGGTCACAATCAGTAAAAAAATACAAATTTGCATATAAAAATTGAAAATATTTTTCCAACAGAAAGTGATTCTACTAGAAGCTTCAAAAGAATTAAAGCAAGGCTAATATTTCTTGTGTTAAAAGATTACATGGTGCACTTTTTTTTTTACATGGTCCCTTTGTCCTCTGGTATCCTTCTCCTCATATTTTCCTCTTTCTCCTTGCATAATAATTCAGTCCACCCTTTCACCCTTTATTTGTGTCCCTCTGCCTTCTGGTTTTCCTCTCCCTATATCCCTTTCCATAGTCCATCTGCCCATATTTCCTCATCTCACACTTGTATCCCATGCTTGCCTGCACTTGTGTCCCTCTGTGACTACAGTGTGATGTGTTCAGGTACCAAGAATCGTTCGCGTAACGAGACGTTTTATTACGCAAAATTTTAGTTAGACTTCCGAGGTTCCATTGTATTAGGATTCCACCCCCTCTCCCACAAAATCACAGTTTTGTAAATCTGAAAGCACAACATAAAAGGCAGGGCTTGACAAATAAATGGTGCTAGACTGCTATGTTAATGCATAAATGGGACTTGTCACAAAGTGTTTATCTCCTGGTCAATAAATGAGATCAAAAGCTTTCACTGACCAGCTCCAAACCTACAGCCAGAGTAAAGACATTTGATTCCCCCATGAGATGCCATGGGAAATATATACACACACATACAGACACAGGGTCAGTTATAGAAACACACTATAGTCACCAAAACACCTTTAGCTTAATAATGCAATTCTGGTTTATAGATCATACTCCTGCAGTCTCACTGCTCAATTCTCTGCCATTTAGGAGGTAAGTCGCTTTTTGTTTCTGTTATGCAGCCCTAGCAACACCTCCCCTGGCTGTAACTGACAACTGCATGAACAAATGGTTTCCCAGATCTATCTTACTTTAAAAGCTTGTATTTACATCTCTGTAAATTGAACTTTAATTACATACAGAAGATTTCTGCAGGATCTAGCAAGCTATTAGCAGAGCAGGATATAAGAAATTTTAAATTAAAACAGAATTCGGAATAAAGGAAGTGTTAACATTACATGACTCTTTACAGGAAGTGTTTAGGAAGGCTGTGTAAGTCACATGCAGGGAGAATTGAGCACTGAGCCTGAGGGCACATGATCTATAAATCAAAACTGCGTTATTAAGTCAAAGTTGTTTTGGTGACTATAGTATCCCTTTAAGATAGTGTGAGACAAGAGCTAACTGTTTTATTAAAAACCCTGATTAATATAAAAAAACAAAAAAACATTTAAAACACTTTTTTCCCCAAATCCTACAGTCTAAAGACTTTTACAAAGGTAATTTTTTGCACAGCTTTACATAATAAAGTGGCAAAAAGATCATTTCCTGTAGATATACACATTTTCTATTGTTTCCATTGCAATGAACATGAGTCTAGAGTACGATTTTCCAGCCTCGTGCATTTTTTTCCCATCCTTCAGACAATTGTTTTATAACTAAAGGTAGTATTCAACTTCCTGACCTTTCGCTGCCATTTTCTTCTGGTCTTCAATTTCTCTTTCCACTTAGACATTAATCAATGCTGAAGAAATGTTACTAGCACTTTGCTGGATTTAATGTAAATAAATGAAGAACAAAAAAAAAAAAAAAGTTCATAAAGTGCAGAACAATTGGATGACTTTACTTTGGCTGCAGGCTGATACATAGAGAACGGTATAACTTACTTATCGGGGAAGGCTTGGCTTACTAACTAAAAGGCTCAAGGTACATTTTACAATTTCTCCTAGTTAGTGTACTTGGAAACATTCTAGATTGGAGGAGGCTGCAGTTATTCATGTGTTCTAGCCATCATTTTAGTTTATTTATTATAATCACCAATAATAATTGATTTTAGATGCACAAAAAAAAAAAAATAAAAAAATAAAAAAAAAAATATATATATATATATATATATATATATATATATATATATATATATATATATATATATATATATATATATATATATATACACACACACTATATATTTTTTATTATTTATTAACTCTATAGGTTTGATTTTTTAATGTTCTATGCCATGCGTTGCTTACATGTGTGGTCACTGTATTAACAACTTGAACACCGCTGCCGGGGTTATTCAGTAAACTCTTAAGCTATAGCCAAATTTTTGATGTTTTAGCCAAAATCTTTCAATCTGGATTTCAATTTAAAGTTTAGCAAATAATACTTTGTATCGCTAAGCACTGACATGGGTGGTTTTAACCTCCTTAACACATCATTAAATATATATAATAGTACATTAGTTTTTCAACTTCAATTTTTTTTCTTACAGCAAATGATTTGACGCAGTTTGAGATGAATCTTACGGTGACACAGCCTGGAGCCGGCTTGATTATGCACTGCTGAGGTGATATACCAAACAGAGCCTTTCTGATGTGCAAGTGATCATTAAACTCCCAGTGCAGGTCCCTCAGCAAAAAGGATACTTCTATATGAGACTGACTATGTTCAAATGAAGCAAGTTGTGCTTCTTCACTCACACACTATCGATTTGTTAAAATTGGAACATTAGAATATACAAAATAAAAATTATTTTTCTTAATCAAAAACAATCCAAAATGCAGTGTGAAAAACATTTTAGCTTAGACACACATCACAAATAGTAAGATGTTCTTAAAACATATAATGAGCTATTCCAAATCAACTCAAGTGCGCCCACCTCTATATTAGGGGGTTTATACCACTATGAATAGCTGAGTCAGAGCTAATTAATGCATTGACCTGCTGAGTCCTTCTACATTAACTCAATTGACTAACTACCCAATAATAAATTCAGGTCAGAGGAGGTATAAAAAGAGAAGATAAGCACGTGTTCTATCAGAATATACAAAATAAATAAGGTTTCACACTGAGGTTCATAATCAGTACTGAAAAATACATTGGGTTTGGGATTTGGTTGATCAAGATCTGTAGTTTTGCTGCATGTAGGTTCAGCCTTAATATAGCACACACAAACAGAAGAAAAACCCCACACAGTGCAATACAGAGGTGCCAAAATCAAATACTAGACAAACACCGCATGCTTTAAGCGCAAACACAAAACATGATTTGATAAAGGAGAACTACAATATTCCTTTGAAGACAAGGTCACAATGACTCACTGTTGCAGGTCTACAATGCTTTTCACAATACAGAGAAGAAAAAAAAACTATAGCTTAATCTACATGTGTGGTTTATTCTTTATTTTAAGTGCAAGGGGCTTTTTTATCCTTTAGCTGTTTAGTAGATCATTCCCTGAATTGGTGCAAAAAAAGCAAAAAAAAACAACAAAAAAAAAACACAGCAACTGTACTAATAGTAAAGTTATTCATAATAAAATATGTATGAAAATTATATTAGCTAAATATTGGAAAGCCACTAGTAATTTTCTGAGCTAGAATTAAATGTGGATTTTTTTTAAAACTAATACTAAACGAGATAACATGTTAAACATTAATCATGCAAACTCTTTATTGCCGGGAACAATGTTGCAGTGGAATGACTTTTGCCCTGATTCTCACACTTGCATGCTTTTCATAAAGGTATAAAGATAGAGTCCTTCAGATTAGATTATGTTATGTTATGGTGAAAAAAAGTCATTGAGGAGTTCTAGAGTAATAAAACATGTTGCAGTGAACAAAAACAAAACAAAACAAAACAAAAAAAGTATAGTAAGGAAGGGAAACACCCAAGTCATATATGATCTTAAGGTAAAATTAACTGGTCGTTGGGAGAAGAATACAAATCTAAAACTTGGCTATTTTAGCCTAACGCTTTCGAATTCTTTGTTTAAAAAGGACAGTAAAGTTTCTCAGAACACTTCATCTCAATGAAATACCCCTGCCATTTTAACTCTGCATTGTAAAACATTGCCGGTCGGCAGGAAAGGAAATATTTACATTGTTGCGTTAACACACCTCTAGTGGCAATTAGGAAGTCATCTACTAGAGGCACTGCCACTGCTATAACCAAGTCAAACTCTGTATTAGACAAATACTGCAACATACGATTGGTGTATGGTGTTTTGCTGCACATGCGACTCCCAAAGTGGAAGTGTATAATCCAAGATCAGTTTTGATTCTCTCAATCATGGAGGCAAGGCCAACAACATGGCTAACAGCATGGCGAGTGCTGAAAGGTGATTAACACTTTTTTTTTATTGCAAATGAGAGGAGACAGTAACATAAACAGCTAAAAGAACAAGATTGTGTTAGGAAAACATGCATTCCCAATATAATATTATTATTACGGGTATTTATATAGCGCCAGAATATTCTGTAGCGTTTTACAATATTATTAAAGGGGGAGATTTAAAAATAAATGAGACAATTACAAAAATAGGTGGAAGAGGGCCCTGCTCAAAGAAGCTTACAATCTATAGGAGGTGGGGCATAAAACACAACAGGACAGGAAATAGCAATCAAACAAGGAGGAGTGAAGCAGAGCTGGAGGAAAGAATAGAGTGCTGTCCTTTAGGAGAGAGCAAGGCACAAGTGTGTGAGGGAGAGGTTAGTCTGGGAGGCTATAAGCGTTCTTAAAGAGATGGGTTTTAAGGCACTTCTTAAAAGATGCAGACTAGGGGGGAGCTTGATGGTCATAGGCAGGCTATTCCAAAGGAAAGGAACCACCTGCGAATAGTCCTGCAAGCATGAGTTGGCCATATGGGTGCGAGCAGCGGACAGGAGAAGGTCACGGCAGAGTGGAGAGACCGAGAAGGGGCATATCTGTAGATCATAGTGTTCCTTTAACCCCTTAAGGACCAAACTTCTGGAATAAAAGGGAATCATGACATGTCACGTGTCCTTAAGGGGTTAAGGAAAACCTTCGACAAAACAAGGGTAATCCCTAAATCCAAACTGGTAGGGGGTACTTGAGGACTGCGTTGGGAACCCCTGCTTTAAGTGATAACCCATGCACCATAACTATACTGTTTAGTGGACAAATTCCCTCAGAGTTTTGTCAAGCCATTTGACATACTGTATATAGTAGCATCAGGATCACAATATCATATGCTTTTTTGTTAACATATTTGAAAACATTTGCTTAGGTTTTATGACATAATCAAACGTAATTAGTTCATTTGACAGAGAGAATGGAGTTGTAATTCCCATTTAAGTGAAAACTGTAAGAAATCATTACAATAAAATACACTTTTGATAAAGCCTATCCAAGGAGAAACGCGTTAAGTGTATTGTTTATAACTTTGATATCACTATTTTATTATATAGTGTATTACTTTTTTAATTGGATCTAACTTTGCTGCTTTTGGATGGTTTGGAGCTATATCCCTGGTGGGGATCATACCACCCAAGTGCTTTGGATTGAGCAAAACAGAACATGCTCTTTAGCATGTGAGTAGGTTTAACTTATTTATTTCTGCTTACACTCCTTTTTATGGTGTACACTATTGTGGTTCTGTTTGTTTATCTCCACATATACAAAGACAGAAGAATTTAGATTTACACCTGTATCCTTGAGGGGGGAATCATACCACTTCAAACGCTATCAGAGGAGCCAGGTTGTACAGCTCCATTACACGTGAGTGTACATTTTATCGTTTTTACCTACCCTTGCTTCATAGCTCTACATATATCACCATATACAATTTTTATCTGTTTACTTTTTATGACAATGACCCCTACCACACCTATAATTCGAAGAATTACCTCTGCACTTGATCCATAGGTGGGGATTATTCCACCCAGGCGCATACACTGGAGCTATATTGAAGCTCCAGGAAAGTGTGAGTGCACATCTTTTATCTTACCTATCACTACTACAGTTTTAAAATACTACACTATTATTTCTTCACTGGTTCTCTCCACATATACCATACTATTTAGTGGATAAATTCCCTCAGATATTTGTCAAGCTATTTGACATACTGTATATAGTAGAATCAGGATCACAATATTATATGCTTTTTTGTTAACATATTTAAAACGATTTTTATCTGTGTACTTTTTATGCATTACTACCCCCATGTTTTTATTACAATAAATGTTGCTCTTTAGGGTTACACAGTTAAAGAGGAATTCTAAACACCATAACAACTACAGCTCAGTATAGTAGTCATGATGCTACAAGTCTAAGGGTACGGTCTCAAAATTTTTATCAAACAAGTTACACAAAAAATTCCTGGCACCCATTGCCCATTCCTTCTTCTGTCACATTTACCATGCAGAAACCAGACTTCCACATTATTGTGTGATTGTCATTCTGTCCAACAATTCTAGATGAACTGTGCTGGGGACTGGCTGGTAAAATATGCTCACCAAGGCTTTCCAGAAGAAGGTGTAATATTGAGATCACATGGCACCTAAGCTACACACTGGTGGAATCTTTTCAATTAATTATACTACTTCTAAAAATAGCTAGAGGAGTTTATTTTATGGTTTCACATAAACATTATTGAGTTCTTAAACAAATCAAACATGTATGGTTACATAACACCTTGCCTTCCCAGTGATGACATAACTTCATCTGGGATCCAGTGTTTCATTGCTGAAAAATTATATAAAGCAAGTTTTCCCGAATGGGGCTTGTGAACAAGGGATACCCTAGTAAATTTCAATATCTGGGTCTCCCTCTGCCTGCTGGGGCCAATATTGGTGACCTAACAATGTCAACTTAGCTGATTGCAGTGCTGAAATTAAACACTGCTCATAGCTACAGGAAATATCACAGTTCAACTTTCACATTTACCATGGTTTGGTGCTCTCCAATTTAATATTTAGTAAATAAACCCCAATTTGTGGATGCACAAAAGGAGAAAGAAGAAAATGTGGTGATCGCATACATATAGGGAGGGGAGAGACCATGGATAAAACCCTTTGCTTTCTGAGGGCTAAGGGAGGATTTGCACTTCATGACTACTGGAAATATTGTCAAGCAGCAGCCCTCTAGAGCAGGGGTTCCCAACTCAGTCCTCAAGTACCAGTCCAGGATTTAGGGAATACTCTGTTATGGCTAAGGTGTTTTTTTTCTCTCTCTTCTAAAAACATTTGGGTAATCCCTAAATCCTGGACTTTTAGGTGCTACTTAAGGACTAGCTTGAGAACCACTGCTGGAGTGTGGAGGTGAGGTTGGGACACTAAAGTATATAAGGTGGGACTGCTGACGCATAGCCGTTTGAATTAAATAACGTGCTCCTGCTATCAATATTTCATTTATTAAATGCCGTATAAAAAAAAAAAAAAAAAAAAAAAATCGCTTGTGCCTGCCCTCTGGAAAAGTCCAGCAACACGAAGAGCAGTGGTCTAGCAAAGTTTAGGAAATCCAGGCAGATGAAGCCCTAGAGCTGGTTTCTCAGGACGGAATACATCTCTCAGAGAGGTGGATAGCAAGGGAAAATTGCAGTAAGGGTGGGGGGGTTGCGGAAATGGTCAAGAAGCCAATATCAAACCTAAACCCAGTTTGCCACCATTTTACCCTCTCTCATCCCACTTTTTCTATTTTTTTTTTTTACTACTTATCTTTAGATGCCAAATCACCTTTAGCAGACAGCATCCCATTTAATACTTGTGAAAGGAAACTATTGTTTAAGAAAATATAGCAAAAATGCCAAAATTAAGTTGATTTGGTCTTTTGGCCTTTCAGGGCTTGTGTCTATAGTCCTGTTAACGAATAGGTCACAAGAGTTTCACACACACACACACATATACATACATACACACACACACATCATTGTGTTCAATCCCTTAGATAGTAAACTATCCTGTGCAGATCACTCACTAACTCTTGTTCATAAAGTCAAACTTGTGAGTTGGGCTGTGATTCATGGAACCATTACATAGCTCAGAGGAAAATGGTGGTACTTTATAAATAATTGATTACAGTAATTGAGATATTTATTATGGTCATAATTGGAATTCATATAGCACCAACTTACTCCGCAACATATTACAAGTAAAAAGGAAGTATTTAACAGTAAATGAGTCTCACATGGTTATCCACTAAAGGGAGAACTGCTGGGAATTCAAAGTGAATTTTGAAAGTTAGGTTAAAATACCTGCATTAGATAAATACTCCTTATGTCTATTCCACGTTCAGCTTGGTTATTCTGACCTCCAATCTGAAATTCCATTTGAATTCCTGTCAATTGTCAGTTTAGTGAAAAGCCCTGGAACTCTTACAAGAGTTGAAAGGAACAATATGTTAATGAGGAAGCCGGCTTGAATGAGCTTACAATACAGGAGGAGTTGCAAACAGCTCAATGTAGTGGTTATGGTACATTCCATTTAAGGCTCTTCTAGAACCTAGGGCCTAGCCCTTTGTTGCTGCACAGAAAATGTAAAGTTTAAATTATATACATTTCATCAAAAGTCATCTAGTCATTGTAGGGATAAATGGGCGGTTATGACATTCTGCAAGGCTAATTCACCTACCCCACTCAATGAATGCCCTAGTATTTGACACATTATTTGGGTGTCACCCCAATGGCTTTTGTTCCCTCTTTTTAAGAACTATTTCCAGCATAACCACTGCAGTACTGTGTGCTTACAGCATACCTCTGAGCGTCCCTGCTTGGAGCTTTGTAGTCCTAGTTCTTTAGTGTTCCTTTAAGTGACAAAGATGACAGCTGATTAAGATGATATTAAGAGCATAGTATATATCATCTAGTGGTACTCTTTGGATCTGACTTGGTAGACTGAAGACTGAGTTGAGTCTGAGCTTTGAGCACTGTATCATTAGGTTTTAAAGCAATTAACACATAATATCGTACTGTACAAAAACAAGAACACACACTATCTAAGAGGAATATCGGAGTTTAGCAGTGGTATGGCATTAATCTTTAAGTACCCATAACATGTGATAATTCTGAGGAGCAGGTATATACAGTGGTGTATCCTGGTTTTGTGCTGCCCTAGGCATGACAAAACTCAACCCTCCCTCCCCCTCCCCGTGCCACCCCACCCTTCTAAATACACACACACACACACACACACATTCACTGACAGACACGCATACACTAGCTAACAGACATACACACTCACTAACAGACACATACAATCACTAGCAGACACACACATACTAACAGAAGCAAGGGGTTTAGTTAACCCTTTGTACACATAAGAAGCATTAAGTTAGGAACTTCAAGCTAAGGATTGTGTAAAAAGTGTAGGTTTAATTCTGAGGATTTCAGTCTACACAATAGACTCCAATCATTTATTTTCTTAAACTTAATACAATACACGGTCAGAGGTCTCTCCAGATTATTTACGAGACTACTTTTCACTAATTGGTGCCAACATCATAAAATCTACTTTTTTTTATACAAACTTTTTTTGATGGGAGCACTCTAAAGAATAACAAAGATAAGCATGTATGATAGGAAGGTTAAAGATCCATAAAACATTTATCTGCTCATCTCGAAGAACACATGTAAGATGTAATAAAGACAAAAGCTTAATACTACAGTGGAGACACATCTACACATTTTTGAATTTCATAACACAATATGTGACAGTTATCTTGATGATCCAAACTATAGTTGTTGTTATCTATAAAACTTGCCCTCCAGAATTATGATTAGGTAGAGGAGAATATGTCCACACACAAGAATAAAAAAAAAATTGCATACAAGTATATCACTTAACTTTATTAGTCAGGAGAAAATGTTACTAATCCAGTTGACATCTCTTGAGAAAAATATAGCCTTTCGCTTTGCCTTTCAAACTTTTTTGCAAAAAAAAAAATTACAGAAACATTTGTATAGAAAATGTAAAAAAATATGGCATGGTAAACAATTAGATATCAGAGACTGCAATCGAAGTAACACACATGTTGGTTCAACACTTAATGCATTGACCAACAATTTGTTCATACAATGTGTCATTTAACTAGGATCTACTGGAAGAAGGTCGGGTTTGAAAAAAGGTTGATTACCACCCTGCAAGAGGGTTGGTTTGGCATGGCTACTGATACAGAGGCATGTGTTTGGTTTACCGAGAACATAAACCTGACCCACAGGGACACTGTGCTATAAACACCCCTGTCAGACTCTCCCCTAGTCTTCAATCCTTTAAGAAGTCCCTCAAAACCCATCTTTCCAGGAAATCCTCTTACTCTCTCCTATAAGGCCACACTCCACTCTCACCTCCAGTTCTGCTACTTTCCCACCATGTCTATTTGCTGTCTCTCTCAATACCCTCCTCTAGACTGTAAGCTCGTTTGAGCAGGGTCCTCAACTACCTATTGTTCCTGTTACATTTTGTTATTGTCTCATTTGGTAAATTTTCCTTTTATTGTAAAGCGCTGCGGAATAAGCTGGTGCGATATAAATACTAATAATAATACTTTGACATCTACATTGGCAAATATTCTTTTCCCAGTACATTGAGGTTTGAATAGATGGGCAATCTTTCCTATCAGTTCTTTAGTGCTGGGCAACAATTAATCTTTACCAGACTAAGTTGTCACACAAAATAAACAGCAAAATGTTTTATCTCCAGCTTATCCCCAACAGTTGGTCTAAGTGCCCTAACATGCTCAGTCAGCCTGAGGAGTTTGGATAAATACACAGATCAGCTGTAAAACACAGAGCTACAGACATTCATATGTTTTCTGCAGAACTGAGAAATACCACAGGGCCTGTGTGACTCACAATAAAACTTGGTTAAATGTTAGGTATACTATGACTCAATAAATGACATGGGAAAGTGATTCTACCTTGCTGTGTAAGCCGTTCACTATGTAACAATTTAAATCAGCCTGTTAATGTTGTGAAAGTAGTAAAATTATGTTTTATCTATTAATCACCAGAGACCCTAGGAAAGACAACTATATATACACCAATCCTTAAAAAAAAAACAAAAAAAAAAAACCCAACCTTGAATCTCTCGATCTGGATAATTAAAATAAATATTGTGTAAAGTAGGCTGGTGAGTAATATATATTATAACATGTGCAATTTGTATCAAGTAAAAAACATACAATCAGCACTTTGTGACAATTACCTTTAATTAGGTAAAGAAAATAAATATTGAAATATTACTGGAATACAGAAGACATATTTGTGTATGCACTGAAAATTACAAGGTGGGTGATTTGTTGCCCTTAATTTTTTTTACTTGACTACATTTTTGAAAATATACTCGCTTTCAGGAGCCTAAAAACAACAACAAACTAAAAAAATGCAATAAATCTACAGGAACACAGTTAGGAATGCAGTCAGTTTAGGAATGTCACATACCTCCCTGCCCCCTGCATGGTCTCAGTCTAAAGCATCTACTTTCAACACAAACCATTTGCTTGAAGAGGATTGTGTACATCCCACAAAAAACTGACAAGCTAAACTGCTATACCTTATCCACAGAAGGACAAAAACATGGGTTTGTAAAGGGGGCAATATTGGCATGATCCTGGGCCAAAGCTACTCTTTCAAGATTTTTCATTTATGTAATAAAATAGCAGTCAATTTGCCAATGAATGGCCAACAAAACGTGCCACAAGTCAATAACTGATTGATTTTGTATATGGTAATTATATTGAGCTATTAATTTCAATAAAACCTTTCTCCCCTGAACACATCCCCCCAACACATGACATTAACCCATAAAGTGCTCCGTGACTCTCATTTATGATTCTAAATGAAGTTTAACATGTCTCTCTAGAAGTGAAATTGCTACAGATTTTTTTGTTTGTATGTTTTTTAATTAAATATTGGCTGTTCACAAAAAAAAAAAATCTTTACTCGTCTGTGTCTAGAAAGATAATTCTAAAAGTAAGAAAGAAATAGAATTTGCAAGAAAAGACACTATACAATTATACAATTAAAATTTGTCTTTATACCACACAATATATTTCAATAAAAGAAAGTCTATAGATGTACGAAGTTCACTGTACCCTCTGCCAGCGTTATTTCACTTATCCATACTTAAGTTAAGTGGCTACTGTACATGGCCAATAGTTCTCAAATAATGTGATATCTAGGAGTGATTTCAGTGTATCCCCTGCTGTCCACTACATGCCAGGGTCTGATTAACATAGGGGTTAGGGGCCACTGGAGCTGGAGTACGGGGCCCAAACATTGTAAAAAGACCCATTCTGCTTGATTTGTTTAATTTTCTTTTTATTTGTTGATGCTGTATATGCAAGGTGCCCTACTTCAAGCATTTGGCCAAGAAGGCATAGAGGTTTTCCTTCGGCTCGTTGAATTTATCGGGAATACCATAGTTACTATAAACTGTCAACAATAGCAACTGAAGTTTCTCAAATATGAAATTCTACAAGCCCATTGCACACATATCTGTGTCCCATAGACCATAGGATGGATTCCATGTGCCCCACAGGATGGATTTCATGTGCCCCACAGGATGGGCTGTGATCACTTGTACCCAGTGAGTTTCTGTATCCCTCAGTCTGCTTGTGAAAATGTATTTATATTCTTGAAAGTTCCAGTTTATAAAGGCATGTGATAATGGTTTTATATCTGGCTGCAAAGTCCAGTTGCAGACATATGTTAGGCACATGCTGTACTACACAGAATAAAACACGAACCCCACCCCCCCAAAAAAAAATAATATTATATATATATATATATATATATATATATAAATATAAAATGTATATTAAAGTCGAGCATTAAGCACAAGGCCAATGAATCCAGCACTGATCTTGCACTCAGATTATTATTATTTTTTTGGTTAAGGTACCACCTTCATGGAACAGCTAGGCAGCAGCATCTCTATTAGTCCTGACTGCTCTGAGTGGTTTTTACCCTCTCCTAAAATAATGCACCCCTGATAAATTAGCAGTACTAAATGAATGTAGCTATCCCCCACTCACTGAACATAAAACATTTAAAAACGCAAATTAAATATATGAGTGGAGTGCAAATATCAAAATAAATTTCAAATTGTATACTAAATGGCTAAAATGCCCAAATAGTATGTTATCTTAGAAAAGTTACTAAAACTAGATACGTTTAAATGTTACAATAACTTATAAAATTGTACTGACATGTTGCAGTTAAACAAATAAATAAAATAAAGTGCCCCACTAATGCCAGGTGTTTGGCTGGTCTGCCAGGCAACAGGAAAGCTTTTAGAAAAAAAAAAAAAAAAAATAGTGATTTGAATAGTCAACTATATTCCATCCAGAGAAGTGGCTCAAAGGTCTTTATGCAACCAGAGAGCTTGTATATCAGTTTCAGTCCAATACAGCAAGCACTCTAAATGATTTACCTACTAATAATTGGTTGCATATTAACCAACAGTGTGTGCTGTGAATAAGATAAGGAGATTTGCAGTCTACAACACACACATTGACAAGTCCTCGCTGTAGAAGTAAGGAAATATGTAGCAATGCAGCTGTGGTGGACTACAACTCCCATCATCTGCAGCTTATGAACAGTGAGGGGTTAATGACAGCTCGTAACGTGGGCAGTGAATGAAGTCGATTAGTCTATCAGATTCCAGACAGATAAGAGGCTGCTCTAATCTGGTTATCAAACAAACACTTTGTAGGAAGAAGACCACATTCCAGGACACCGCCAGAGATAGAGGGGAGACAAAGGAAGACCCATTTAAATACCCATCACCAGAGCAGTCCCCACAGATGAGGTTCTAGTTTTGTTAATGGAAATAAAGCCCTTACTTGTCACACAGACACATGACACAATGCATTCCCAATATGCAAACTACAGAGTCACTCTCACAGCTGCAGCAAGCACCAAATCAGTTCATAGCAGCACTAAAGGCAATTTCCTTACAGGTATGTGGAATACTAGTGATAGCAGGAACAATCATACAATGTATCTGGTGAGAGTGAGACGAGTTCTGCCATAGAATGCACACAATGTATCCGGTAAGGACGCGTTCTGCCATGGAATGTATCTGAAGTTAAACCTGCTTTCTTTACTCACCCAAGCAGTGCAGCTGGCTCCCAGGCTGGTCTATGGGTAAAAGGGATCCATGGTTATAAGGCAGGAGCAGCAAAGTACAGAGATTCCTCGCAGGACGCGGATAGTGTACTCTCCCATACAGGTGCCTTGTTACAGTGAGAGCACACTGCCAGTCCCTCTCACTCCAGGTTTAAAGCCCTGATAACTCTACGTCACTAAGAACTGAGCGAGGAGGCTCCGCCCACAGCTCTGACAGTCCCGCCCTCCTCGGACCTCACCGTTCCACCTGGAGCTGGTCCTGCACCCATCCTGCCCATCCCTATCATGAGATCATCATCTTAAGTGCTGACGTTAATATTTAGCAATACATCGATGGAGGGAACAAAGGCCTTTTTTTGGAGAGGGGGTGAGGGGGAAGGTGAGGGCATATATATATTAGGTGTGAGGCTGGGGAGCATGAATGTTCCAATACTGTCTAATACTAGGGAGATAATAATAAATGTTCTGTATAATTATCACAACTAATAATAATGTGATTTAAAATTCTCACAACTAATAATGTGATATAAAATGATCACAACTAATAATAAATGTGATATAAAATGATCACAGCATACATAAATAATTCTTATAATTAATGTTAATCTGATAAATAATAATAATGTGACATAGAATGATCACATTATCATTAATGATGAATTATAATAATCATTTATATTAAATTATCACAACAAATAATGAATATTATTAAAATTATTAATGATCTGATCAATTTTATATCTCATTATTAAACCAAGCAGTTAACATTTTAGATCACTCCAAATAGGTATAGAAAAAAGAATATACATCATATTGTAAAATATGCAGCTATTTCAATAATAAACAATACCACTTAATAAAACAGAGAAACAATAGTTTTTTTTTTCCTTTCAACATGCACATGGGTGCTGTATTAGGGTAAATCAGGTAACTGTTCCTTATCGACCTCCTCTCTTTGAACTGCCTGCTTACAGTATGTCATTCTTTATCACCATAGCCTGGTGTACCGTATTACACAGATTAATGTAGCATTCCATGAAGAAGCAGCTTGCGGCAACACAAAGTTTGCAAGTAATTCAGGATGAATTGTGCGTGGCCCCCAGTCCTTAAAGGAAAACTTTACGGCTAGGGACACAAAAATGTATTCCTAACACTATAGTGCCCTCACATCTCCCATCCTCCATGGCAAATAAAGGGTTAAAAGATAAAAACCTTTTTTTATACTAACTTGATTTTAGCGGCGATGCCCCTCAACCCTGCGTCGTGCTCGTCATACACCAATGTCAGCCGGTGGTAGGGCCTAATGCACATGCGCGGCATGCGTCACACGCACGTTCGACCCTCCCCGTAGGAAAGCTTGCCTTAATGCTCTCCAATGAGGATTCTTAACACTTTGGAAGTCCTCATGCAAAGCATGAGGATTTAAAGCGTTGTTTCATGGAGTCAAACTCCAGGATGTGCCTCTAGTGGCTGTTTGGTAGACGGTCATTAGAGGCAGTCTTAACCCATTAATGTAAACAATGCAGTTTCTCAAAAACTGAAGTGTTTTACATTGTAGGGATAAGAGAACAGGGACACTGCACACATACCACTTTAATGAGAGAACTTGGACTGCCTATAGTGTCCCTTTAACTCTTTCATTGCAGGAAGAATACTAGAAAAAACAAGACCTATAATTCGTACTACAAATAATACTTATTAGTTTATAGACAATGGGGTGACATTATGTCAAGTGTCAGTGGTGTGCTTTTATTTCTGGAACACCTCTTAATAAAACCCCTTTTATTAATATGTCCTTTGAGTACTGTAATAACATATAATAATAATAATAATAATAATAATAATAATAATATAAGAATAAATTTGCACCCTCTATGTTCCAGCCTCACCATCATAGTGCCTGTTTTACTGCACTTTTTTCACTTTTTCTCCAAAACATTTTTCTCTCTTACATTTAGCAGCTTTCCTTGCCCTTTATCTCTTTTTTATTTTTTAAATAACATTTTATTATATTTTTTTTTTCATTTTTAAACATAAAAATAGCACATCAAAACATTTCCAGCATACGAAAAGAAATCAGAAGTAGAAATCCCATCATGTTAGCTGTCGACTCAGTAGATTCTTTGGGATGTGGTGGGTGACTGACAATTATACTGCTACTATGTGATGCTATCATGTCGGCATAGACCAGATTCTCAAAGGAAAGTCTCCAGGAACTTGTCAAATCCATGTCACTATTAACCCAGATTGTTCTCGGGGTAAAGATTGACTCTGCCCAGTCTTGGAAAGGTGCAACAAATTGAGAGACCATCGAGTGTGTGACACATCTGCAATACTAACCCAGAACAGATCTCTTTCAAACTTAAGGCCAAACTAACTGAATAGGAAGCATAGCTGGCTTTGAGAATTTTTTCCAGTTTGGCTATTTTGGCCTTGAATTTTAAATTCACTTTGAATTCCTGACTATTCTCACTTCAGTGAATCTTATTGTATATCTTTATTACACATGTATGTGTTATGTAGTAAATATTTTAAATTTGTCTAGCAATTACATGTCCTTATGGTGCTGTTGTCTCCTGCATTCTTGTTATCATTCTTATTTACAAAGCACCAAGTTCCACAGCGCTGTACTGTAGGTAATATACCTGGGTGGGATTTTGTGCAAGTTTGACTGATTGTAATTCTGTGTGGGGCTTGGCTGAGTATGCTTGTGTTGGTTGGCTGAGTGTAAATGTGTGTATGTGTTTGGCTGTGATTTGCATATGTGGTTTGGCTCCGTGTAAGTGTGTGGAGCTATTGGCCCTGTTTGGGCACACTAACCCAAGCTTTACTGCTAGCACATTTGGGATCAGTACATCCCACACTCCCCCAGCAAGCGTGTGAATTACCTACTGGGTGAGTAACAGTGACAGGAAGCAAGAGCACAGCCTGTCACTCAAACTATGGCATTAGACCCAAGGTGCCAGTGTTTAATGTTCAGAATTTCAATGACAGGTGGGGGAATGATCATATTTTTAAAGATCTTCAAATTCAAATCGATACAGATGCTTGTATTTCTGCTAGCACTATATACAGATGAAATTTTAATTATTTAATATACACTTATTTTGGATACACTTAAAAATAATACCTATTCATTAATAATATGTGTGTATATATACTCTGTGTGTGTACATATATACTGATCAGCCACAACATTAAAACCTCTGACAGGTGAAGTGAATGACATTGATTATATTGTTACAATGACACCTGTCAAGGGGTGGGATATATTAGTCAACAGGTTAAGCTATGCAGCTTAATGTAGTGGTTCTTGTGTATATAGCCTGTCCCTGCAGGCTTTTTAATGTAAACACACACTGTGTGAAGCACTGGCGTTAGTTCATATGGAAGATCATATGGGTGGGGCATTGTGATGTCACATGGGGGAGAGTGGGGGCGGCAAATTCTTCTTTTGCCTAGGGCGGCAAAAATCCTTTCACTGGCCCTGGCCTTGATTCATCAGAACTGTTTTGGCCTAAGGTGTCCAGTCAGCTCTTGTGCCCCCCGTGACAGGCAGAACACAGACACACCCGACACCTACATGTCATTTTGTTTTCTTCAGATAAGACTACTGCCAAACTGACTACTATCTCTAAGAAATGGGTACAAGGAAATGTTTTTTAAATGACAGAAGGGAGCATGAATATTTGGATTTACTGAAGCTGAGTCATATCAGCTCAATCTTACCTGAGGGCTCTACACATACTTTTTTTTTTTTTTTGTTCCTGTTCTACTAAACTTCCTAGTGTCTTACGAAAAATATTTCATGTTCCGTTGGCGCACAAATACACACACATACTGACACGGAGGCTTACACAATGCATGCACATGCACATAGAATAAAATGTAGATAAAAAGACAAACAGATTTAATTAATTTAAAATAATCTCTAGGAGTATAAAAAAAGTTTTGGTTTTTTTTTTTTTTTTTTTAGCATTTACCATATTGTTCTAGTCATAGTTAAATGCAGAGTACAGGTTAATTTGATTATTTATTTCTAAATAATTATATAGCAAGAAGCTGAATTTCTATTTTAGGTTTATATGTTATACAACATAATTGAATAATATAATTATTGCCACATCCATTACGTGTGTAATTACACAGTCACACATGTACTTATTAAAAACTTTTGCAAATGTCTGCAAATTCATTGTTAAATTCTAACTTCTATTGGAAAACCTGCACATACAAACACCAGTATGAAATGTGTAAACTAGGGTATTCCTTCCCTTCACTCAGCATTACTGCAAAGTATTTTTTTTTTTTATTAATCTTTTTGCTACTTTCTCTCAATTGGAGTGGACTCATCATGACAATACAAATCACAGTAGGGTATTTTTGAATTATTCCAGCTGTAGTTAAGACGTTTGAGGATAAGCAACGACTACGGGTGCTTTGGCAGTACTTTAGCATAGTATGTAGATGTGTGTGTTCTTTAGTTTAATGTTTGTGTTATCTTTATCAAGTAATACATGTTTAAAGGTGAGGGGGGCATGAATTTTGACCACTGTATACCCCCGTTCAGTTTACAGGGAGTGCAGAATTATTAGGCAAGTTGTATTTTTGAGGATTAATTTTATTATTGAACAACAACCATGTTCTCAATGAACCCAAAAAACTCATTAATATCAAAGCTGAATATTTTTGGAAGTAGTTTTTAGTTTGTTTTTAGTTTTAGCTATGTTAGGGGGATATCTGTGTGTGCAGGTGACTATTACTGTGCATAATTATTAGGCAACTTAACAAAAAACAAATATATACCCATTTCAATTATTTATTATTACCAGTGAAACCAATATAACATCTCAACATTCACAAATATACATTTCTGACATTCAAAAACAAAACAAAAACAAATCAGTGACCAATATAGCCACCTTTCTTTGCAAGGACACTCAAAAGCCTGCCATCCATGGATTCTGTCAGTGTTTTGATCTGTTCACCATCAACATTGCGTGCAGCAGCAACCACAGCCTCCCAGACACTGTTCAGAGAGGTGTACTGTTTTCCCTCCTTGTAAATCTCACATTTGATGATGGACCACAGGTTCTCAATGGGGTTCAGATCAGGTGAACAAGGAGGCCATGTCATTAGATTTTCTTCTTTTATACCCTTTCTTGCCAGCCACGCTGTGGAGTACTTGGACGCGTGTGATGGAGCATTGTCCT